AAAAAAAAAAAAGAATAATAAACCCCTTCCCTGGACATCAGTCTTCCCTGGACATCAGTCTTCCCCCCCAACACTCCGAATATTTGCTAGCCAAAGATGGCTGAAGACCTCACCAACAGGAAGACCCCACCCTTACCTTTTATCAGGACAGGTCATCCAGTAGCTGGCCAACAGCTCTGGATAACGTTTGAATGAAAAGCTAATGGATTTTACTGTTACAGGTGCAGCCAGGCAACAGTCAGCTGGGAAATTAATAAATCCCATGGCCTTGCTAGTGGGGACAGGGATCAGGAACAGCAAGCACCTAGTGACAGGACATCAGATGGGAGTCCCCACAGCAGACAACACCATTCTGAGCAAGGGGACAGAACCAGTCCTGTTCCAAGCACCACCACCGCCCAAAGAAACCTCAGGGCTTCCTCCCTGTTGCTGAAGCAAGGTTTGTGTTTTCCCTGTCAGTTTCATTTGTAGTCCAGTAAAAGCCACCTGGAGCACCCCATTGGTATCTTCTCATGCTGCGGATGCCTAAAATTACCCAGGAACCGCACACACCCACACCCCCCAATGCCCAAATCTCTAAACTCTAGCTTTTAAATCTCTCTTGTCACATGTAACAAGCCAGGAACAAGCCAGAAAAGGAGAAGACCCAGTTCTGCTTTCTCTCCAGCACACAAATGAGGTGGTAAATGCTTTCGATGTTTTCTTTCCCATGCTACTGAAGATAGTTGTTGCTCAGGAAAATCAGAATTATAGACAGGATCGTTTCCTTGAAAAAAAGAAATGGCTGGCGCTAACAGACTCAGCTGAATATGAACAAGAAATCAATTTACCAGTGTGTTTTTCCAAACTAGGTGATGCCAAAGCATTTTACTCAGGCGTGATCTCAGTGGAAGATTTTGTTGTCAGCTCCTTTGGGGAGAGGTTTGTTTCTATGATTGTTCATTGCTCTTTACCTCCACGGTGTTTTATCAACAAATGTCACGTGATTGATATCCAGGGAAAGTACGGATTCCTATTAACGTACTTAACAAGGAATGTGAAGGGCCATCAAAGCACTAAGCAATAAAGGCATCTAGATTTGGATCTTATCAAGGCAGGAATATCCTGGAAAGACAGAATGATCCACATAACTCCCCTTAAAGGTCTTCAGTCTCCAAAAAAGAAAAAGTTCTCCCTGTCTTTTTCCAGTGTTGCCCTGGAAGAAAAATATGCCCAGCAATGACCAATGAATCTCCCTGGCTCATGTTGCTAAAACAGACACAGCTCTTAGGGAGATGCTCTACTTTTCTGAATTTGGATGTGCCCTGGGCATACCTGATACTCTGCACACGACTGTTAAGTGATTTTGAAATGGCTAAGTGAAGGCATGCAGTTCTGATTCCAACAACTCCCATTTCCAAGGAAAAAGAAGAAGAAATCCCATCCCCCTCAACCCCCCAAAATGCTTTAAAGACAGCAGCCAGGGCCGCTACAAATATACATCATCCTGTTAACACCAGAGGAGAAGTAGCTGCTAGCTCTCAGGAGTCTGGCGAACACATCAGGACTCTGGGCCTCCCTGAGAAGATAGGAGTCTACTCAGTGATAAAGAAACCTAAAGTAAAGCAACACATCTCGCTCAAGACTTCACCGTCATTAGTTCCCCTTAGGGATGAAAAAATCAGAGTTGAGAGAATCGAAAGAGATCTTTCGGGAGGTGCATTTCCAAATTTGGGGGCACAGCTCATCAAAGGAATACCAAAACTGGACAAATCAAGCAGCTGACCCGGGAGCAGCTCTGGACAAGACCAGAATCCGAGTCAGGGCTTCAAGGGTTAACCAGCCCGGTCACACTGGCCAGAAACTCCTCCAGCTGCAGTTCTATCAGAACCCCAAAGAGAGCGGAAACTGAAGTAAACCTCGCATCTTGCTCAAGACTTGACTGCCATTATTTCGTCTTAGGGATGGAGTCTATCAGCTTTTGAAATGCAAGTCAATGAAATGCCTCTTGACAAGCCCCACTCCCTCCTCTTCACACAACTGGGTGGCAGAGTTATCGCAATAACCCTGAGCTATAGGGCAGCACCCTTCCTTCCTCCCCTCAGAGAAAACTGATGTGTCACGGATAGGAATGCCAAGAGTTCACAGCTCCCCGCACAAAGCCGCCCCTCTCCTCCCGTCGATAAAAAAGTTTCCTGCGATCCTGTTATCAGATAATCCCAATTCTCTCAGGGGTTGCTCTGGTTCTAAATAGGAAAAGAACCATTTAGCTCATATCCAGGGCTAGGTCAAATGCCTCTGGCAACTCACTTAAAACCACTGGATAACTCAGGATCGCGCACCCACTAGTCTCTTCACGAAATCTAAATCGGAACCCCCCTAAAAGGAAACATCCTCGTGCGGACAGCTCAACTAAACCCATTCACAGCTTCTGAACAAAAAAGGCCACCCTGAGGGATCCGTCCGACGTTGCCTCCTCCCGGTCCCTGCCCCGGTTGAAGGTCTCCGCGAATTTCCCTTCGCTGGCGACCGAGGAGGCCACGTTTCGGCTCGGGAAGGAACCGAGGCTCTGAGGGGCGCGTAGGTGAACTACCCAGGCCGGGGCAGCGAGGGCGGCCTCCAGGACTAAATGGGCTCGACCCAGATCGCGGAGGGCACCTCGCCCAGGCTCGCGGAGACGACCCCGGGGGCCAGGGACGCGTTGTGACAGGCGCCCGGGACCGACGCGAGGGAACGCCGGCCGACCCTCAACCGAACTAGCTGCAGCAGGAGTCCCCAGCCTCACCTCGAGCCCCGCCCAGCGGGTGTCCCAGCCCCGCCCCGTGCCCCCCCACCCCGCATCCACCGCCCCTCATTGGCCAAGGGGAGTGGCTCGAGGCTCGCGTGTTCCAATCGCGCCCAATGGGAGCTCGGGGACTGGCCCTCAGGGCCGGAGGCGGGGCTGGAGGCGGTGGCCACCGGCAGAAGCGTGAGTGCGCTGCCCTCCAGGAAACTCCGCGTCGGACCCAAGGCTCCACGCAGGCTGCAAAGCCACCTGAGCCGCCTGCGGCATTCCTGTCCGCGCGTGGACGCGAGGGCGCCCGCAGGGACCCGCCCCCCGGGCCAAGCCCCCGGGCTTCTGGTACTCCTCACCCCAGAACAACTCGGTGGGGGGTCCCTGCCTCCCGAGAGCTGGAGAGCCCCGTGTCCCGCTCTGAGGAAGACAAGGGGGTCCTCTCGTCCGGCGGAGACTTATGGGGAAAGCCTCACCCCGCTTCTCGTGACTCCCCCCCACCCCAAACCTCGCGATCCCTTCAACACTCCCTCCAGCCGTTTGGAAAGGACTTCGTGCCATTTTCCCACACATCTTACAAGGATGGGGTGATTTTCCGCAGCTCCCAGAATTACCAAGGGGCTCCCCGAGTTCTGAAGGGGTCACGCCACTGCACGCGGGCGCCTGGAGCCAGCCTTACCTGCCGTCCCCGTAGCTGCGAGAAGCAGGGCGGCGGCCCAGCACAGCCCCCAGCCCGCGGGTTTCATGCTCCCAGCCTCCGCCCCCGAAAGTGCCAGCCCGGGCTTCGGTCCGGAAAGTCCGCGCAGGAAACCGGGGCTTCGAGCGCTCGGGCGGCAAATGCATGCGGGGCCCCAGTCATTTGCAGCATTTCTATGTGTTTCCTCGCAGGGGGAGGAGTTTGCGATGGGGTGATTTTCGAATATCTTCACCTCACTGCGGGAGGAGGAGTTTCGAGAGGAGGAGTTTCGAACGGCCGATGTGACAAGGCCTATTTAACCCGTGAAGCCCTGACTCGGATTCCAGTCTTTTCCAAAACTTGCTTCCAAATTATCTAATAGGCTAATGACCAACTTCCCTCTGCCTCCAAAGGAAAAACTAGACATGTCGGAAACCTTACCCGGTCCTTTCTCCACTTGCCTTTTCTTTTCTAGGAATCGTATATAGATTTTTTTTTTTAAAGATTTTATTTATTTATTTGAGAGAGAGAATGAGAAAGAGAGAGAGCGCATGATAGGGGGGAGGGTCAGAGGGAGAAGCAGACACCCCGCCGAGCGGGGAGCCCGATGCGGGACTCGATCCCGGGACTCCAGGATCATGACCTGAGCCGAAGGCAGTCGCTTAACCAACTGAGCCACCCAGGCGCCCTCGTATATAGATTTTAACTGAGTTTAATCCCATATAGTTTTGAGACGATTCTTCAGAATTGGTCTAAACAGTACTCGGTGAGGAATTTAAATAAAATCTTCACAAACATTCAGCCCCAAACTGATCTTGTTTTGTGGGATCCCGCACTTGGATGAATACGAGCAAAAACATCTCTAAAATCAATTGATCCAATCGGGGTCTGGACATAAATACAGATTTATTCTTTTAGGAGAAGATGTTAAACAGGCTGCTTCCTCTCCCCAAAGCAAAACCAAACAAAACACCTTTTAGAATTGAACCTGATTGCCTTAATCAGAGAGGGCTGATGGAGAGCAGCTTTTAAGAATCAAAAGAGTCTCGGGCGCCTGGGTGGCTCAGTTGGTTAAGCGACTGCCTTCAGCTCAGGTCCTGATCCTGGAGTCGCGGGATGAAGTCCCGCGTCGGGCTTCCTGCTCAGGAGGGAGTCTGCTTCTCCCTCTGACCCTCCCCCCTCTCATGCTCTCTCTCTATCTCATTCTCTCTGTCAAATAAATAAATAAAATCTTAAAAAAAAAAAATCAAGAGTCTTGGGGCAGGCACCTGGGTGGCTCAGTCGGTTCGTCTGCCTTGGGCTGGGGTCAAGATCCCAGGGTCCTGGGATGGATCCCGGCATTGAACTCCTTGCGCAGAGCGGAGCCTGCTTCTGCCGCTCCCCCTGCTCATGTGTCCTTTCTCTCCCTCTCTCTCTCCCTCTCTGTCAAATAAATAAAACCTTAAAAAAAAAAAAAAAGAGCCTCTTTTGGAATTAATGAAGTTTCCAAGGCCCCTTGCCAAAAAGGCACGTATGAGACTCTTGCCTGAACCCCGTGAAGGGTCTGGCAGTCACCCCACGAAGGGTCTGGCAGGCTTGGAGGGGTCTCCCGGGAATGAGCAGAGTTCTCTGAGGTTTTACAGACTAGAGCTTGGCAGAAGGTACTGCGGGGGGGGGGGGGGGGGGGGGGAGGGTGATTAATCAGGGTAAGAAAGAGCAGTGAAGAGCCCCAGCTTCGGAATCAGGCAGACCCTGGGTGAGTAAATGAGCTTTTCCGACATGGAAAGGGGAGGAAATAATGCTTGCTTCCCTTACTTGGCAGGTTCCTTGTGGGGTCAAATGAGATAATTAGCAATTACCTGGGAAAACTTGTGTTGTTGGGTTTTTTTTAAGATTTTATTTATTTGACAGAGAGAGAGTACAAGCAGGGGGAGCAGCAGGGAGAGAGAGAAGCAGTCTCCTGCTGAGCAGGGAGCCCGATGCAGGGCTCAATCCCAGGACCCTGGGATCATGACCTGAGCTGAAGGCAGATGCTTAACTGACTGAGCCACCCAGGCGACCCTCACCTGAGAAAATTTGTGGGTTTTTTTTGTTTGTTTGTTTCTTTTTAAATATTTTTTATTTATTTATTCAGAAGAGACAGGGACAGGCAGAGGGAGAAGCAGGCTCCCCACTGAGCAGGGAGCCCGATGCAGGGCTCAATCCCAGGACCCTGGGATCATGACCTGAGCTGAAGGCAGACACTTAACTGACTGAGCCACCCAGGCGCCCCTCACCTGGGAAAATTTGTAAGGATGGGCAAGGTGTGGGAGTTTTTGCCACATTTATGAATGTTACCATCAAAGTCCATCCCTAATGGATGCTACTTTTTTGGGGGGTCCATTAAGAGCACTAGGTTTTATTTCCCTTCAGAAAAATCACAACACCTAACAAGCTCAGTTTCTGTTGTGAGCCCAGTTTTCTCTTATTCATGTGGTAGTAGGAGGCCCTTTTTCCCCACCAGGCCTGGAAAAAGTTACCAAGAAGAAGCTCTCTTCTGGAAAGGGACTCAGCTTAATATGTCTTCCAAAGCTAGTTCCTCAGAGATGTCAGGGGAGGTCTGGAACAGGGCCATAAAACCTCAGTGAAGAACATTTCGGGGATGCCCAGTCCTGGACAGGGTCTCCCTTTGACCTGTCTGTGGAAATCCCAAGGCCCCTTCTGTTCCTGGCACGCAAGAATATGGTCTTATATTGCCTTAAGGATGGAGTCATGCTGCTTTTAATTTCTCTGCTGCTATTGACCAGAGCCTCCATTTGTAACTAGCTCATAGTGGTGTTGTGAGAAGTAAATTAATACATAAGTGTATAGAGTGGAGCCATGCTTGGCACACAATAAACACCATATATGGATTTGCCCTTTTTTTTTGGCTATGACTGCATCATTTTTTTTTTTTT